CACGGTTTGAAAGAGGATCAAATGTTTTAAATCTAATAATAGAAAAGAGTATGCATGACAATGCATATTTTCATAAGTTTTATGAACTAAATGGAATGGCAATTTGATTTTATTGTCCTCGCACCTCTCCTCAAAAGGAAAAGCTGAAAGAAAAATTTACCCATCAATATTATCATTCGCACCCTTCTAGCCCATTGCCTCTCTCCCACCTCATTTTTGGCATTATGCACTACAAATGTGCAAACACCAGAAGGTCCACATATGGGTATTGTATATATATTGGGGACAACCTCATCTTTTGGATACATAACGACAAACCTACATTGTCTTGTTCCAATGCTCAAGCAGAATATATTGGAGTCAATAATGAAGTATTTAATTCATGTTGGCTTAAGAATCTTATTTTTGGAACTATATTGCATTGTATTGAATGCCACATTAGTCTATTGTGAGAATGTAAGTGTCATGCATCTCTCCAAAAATTTCATTCAAGATCAACACACTAAGCACATTAAGATGGATATTCACTTTATGTGTGAGAAAGTTTTTTGTGTCCAGGTTCTTCTTGTGTTACACGTCCCTTCATGATACCAAATTGTCGGCATCTTCACTAAGGATCTTCCAACACAAATCTTTGATGATTTTCGACTTAGTCTAACATCCAAAATTTTCCAGTTTCGACTATGGAGGTGTATTAGAATACGTAAATATATTTTATATTTAAAAAATAACTTTTATCTTTAGTATATATTCATTTGTAGTTATTTAGTAGATCAAAATCATTAATTGAGCGATTGTTGTTACAGTTTTGTAACATCTTGATATAGTCAATATACTCTTGTATATATACATGATTATGCAATGAATTATGAAAGACAAATATTCTCTTACAATAATTATTATATTCTAAAGTTATCATTGACTCCTTCTGATAAAATAAAATCTTTCAAATTTCAACGAAGATAATTTCCATTAATTTTTTCATCTGCCATGACTATCAATAAAAGATAAGGATAATTACTTAAAGATATCAGAGGATATGTTACAAAATCATTTTTCTCTCATGGAAAATCATATGTTTCATTGTAAATGTTTGAAAATAAATGTTACTTCAAATATGATTTATGAAGAGGTATTTTAGAATATTCAATAGTTACTCCATCTTCATTTACTATATTGTATGCAATTTCATTTATAATACAACATTAAACTTGGTTGCAATATATTATATTCTACATTTCTATTTTTAAAGCCTTAATACAAATATAATGTGGATGTTTTTTTAATAAGTTAATGATTAATACATATCAAATTCAATAAATTATTTGTCTCTAATTATAAAAACCCGCGATATATCACGAGTCAATAATCTACTATTTGTTATTGTATTTAAGATAGAAATACTTTTTTGAATATGCAATAACTCCTTTGGTATTTGATTTGATTGTGGTTTGTATTTTGCAAACTGAATCAAATCACACCAAACTGCATTATGTTACAAAATTTTATAAATTATTATATATTTTCTTAATTCTTTAGATAAATCAACAAGTACTATGTGTATATTTTATCATAATTTTTGTGGGATATTTATTTTAATTTATATATCAATAAAAATAAAATATTATTTATTTATAAATACTATTATTTTTATTTAAAATAAAATTACTATATGTTTATTTTAGTTTTCGTTTTTAATTTGTTAACTTTGATAAGAATAAGATTAAAAAAAAATCAATGTACATTATTTTTGCATTCCTTTATATATAAAATATAATAGTATTTAAAATTTATTTAAGATTGCAATTTCATATATATTGTTCTTTAAATATAAGATAAAATTGTAAGATATAATTCATATTTGCGCCTCAAATTGTAAACTTATCTGGACAATAAACTTATTTTATGATAATGTATGAATGACTAAATATAAAATTATATTATCCTATATATGTGTATGTGTGACTCAATAAAAATCTTGTAAAAAATCGAACTAATCCAAATCACATTTGTTTAGTTTAATTTGGTTCGGTTTTATTTTTAAAAGTCAACCGAGCCAAACTAAATCAATTTTTTTTTCTCTTACGGTTTAGATCTTTTAGCATCAAAACTGTCCAAATCGCACCACATAGACCCATAATAAAGTTTATTATAAAATAATTATGGTCTTTTTATTCGAACAACTAATGTGTTTTTTTAGGCTAGTTATGAATCCTTTAGGTTTCAATAGTTATTATAAATATGTATCTCTATCAATCTAAAAGATATGGATGATGTGACAATCATATGAAAAACTTAGAAAGATAGGGGTAGAAATTCCTATGATTATGTTATTGGAAATAGGAAAACCATTAGAGATATCTAAAGAGATTTAGAAAAACTTTTAAACACTTTGGACTTGTGTGATTCATATAAAGAGAGTTGGAGAGATTAAGGAACATGTCGGTGGTAATAAGGTTTGTTCTTGGGAACATGTATGTAAGGGTGTCAATATGGCATGGCGAGGTGGGAGATACATTTCTACCCTTATCTTCACCCTCAAATATATTCCCCATACCCGTATCAGATCTCCGTCACAGGATTTTTTCCCTCATCCCCATTCCCATAGAACCTCACAATTCCCGCAGAGATCCATTAATATTAAGAAATATTATTTTTAAACAAGTTAAAAGTAAACAAATTCAAAATTTAACCACGAGGGAGGACTTTGTTCCTCATCCCCATGAAGGAAAATTCTTCACCCTAAACAGGACAATCTCCATGGAGATCTCTACTAACCGATACAAGTTGCCATCTATACTTATATGACTATTTTCTTGTAACTAATCTGTAATCTCTTGTAACAACTTTTGGAAGTATAATGAATCAGATAAATATTCTCTCTCCAAGTAAATTATTTTATCAAACTTGATAAACAAGTTATTATGTTTTCTGTCTTTTATATTCTTTTGATTTGTAGTTGATTTACTTTATTTTTGACAGGTTATTTCGTTTTTTAATCTATTTATTTTGTTTGATGTTGTTCTTTGTTTCTACACATCAAATTCTCTAGCGTGTTTGAAACTCTGAACAAAAATAGTTTAAATTATTTTATTAGCTTTTCATAACACAAATTTAACAAAGAGTTTTAGATTTTTTACATGATTTTAAAATTAACAATCTCTGGTGTTTCAAAGTTCAGCACTATTTAATTCAATTCATTAACATTTTGAATTGAATTTTCCCATTAAACATTTTGAATTTGAGATATAGAGAAAATACAATTTTTTGTGTAGTCAAATTAGAGCCATGCATCAAGGTCATCAACATATAATCTAAATAGTTTATATTCAAGATTCTTATACTATAAAAAACATGAGAATTGTGAGAGTAAAAGTTTGGAGGATTTAGGATGACATTGCAAGATTGATAAGTAAAAATTTGATAAAACATAATATTTTGTATGGGTCAAGTATTGTACTAGTATATAATCTCATTGAGCCATAAAAAGACGGTCCATGATGAGAAAATGAGTGAAGCACCGCACTGTTATATCTAAACACTTGATTGAGTTTGGCCTCCCGACCATGGCTGATTGTCTGACCTTGGACCATAATGTCAAATTTGATGTGTGATCCATTTGCTTATAAAACATGGGCTATGATGTATCCATGTAATATCAGTCAAAGGAAGAATAAGTATTACACTACTCCCATGTTGATCATGAAATAGTGGAAATCACCCATAAGAGGTCATCTATAAATACCTCAGTTCATAATTGAGGAGGTACTATCTCAAATCCACACAGACACTAGATACACTGTGTTTCTCACATATTGTGCTTTTAGCAAGTACAAGTATAAATTTCATATTTAAAACAAGTGTTAAAGTTATAAAGTGGAAGTGAAAAAGAAGAAAATATGTCATTAAACAAACTTCTACAATCATTCATATGTGTATAATCTAACTAATGCTATTATAAGTTAGGATATGTGGATCTATATATTTGTAGGTACAACTATTTATAAATGATGGTTTTGATGATAACAATATCTAATGGCAAATGAAAATTAGTGGACTCCTTGAGAATCTCTAGTCAAGTAACTTCTGATGATGGTGTCTATCAAAGAAGTTATATTAAGTCTCATCAGTTAGAAGAAACAAGTCTCAAATGAAGTACTGAATCAAGCAAGTGATCTTAAAGCTTCTAGGTTGTGAAAAAGAGGAAGTGTGAAAACTCGTCTGATTATGTATTTGAGTGATCAATGTATGATAAAAGTATACGAGTGAATCCGAATATACTAAGACAACTAACACATATACACTCAAATGTTTTTGAAGTCTCTCTCATTTTATAAAATCACCAAAATAATATACTATATTAATAAGGATAAATGTGTAACAAAATTAATAAGTACAATAACAATTTAAATTTTTTTGAATAGATTGAATCAGGTTGGAGTGAGTGTAAGGTAGGTATAAAACCCCATCACCGTTTTTAAACTTTAAGTTTTCTCCGCCCCCACCCACCATCGATTCAATCCGTTTTTCTCTCTGTCAAATTTTATTACCATGTCTAATTTTGATCATATTATTTTATTTTATCAACAAAACTAGTTATACTATTTTAAATTAAAATAATTTTAATTTCATATAACATAGTTTAATTTAAATACTTTAAAGAGAAATATTATGGTATTAAATATTAAAACACTGTCAATATCTTTTTTAATAAAAAGAAAAATAAAAAATAAAAATAAAAATAAAGACCCTGTGTTGTTAATAGTGCGTATACCAATTTCATTTCCGTTACATTAGCGCCATTTCCATTTACCAGTGGCACGCCTTCAATCACCGAGCACACCTCACGGAGCGGATCTTGTTTCTCTAAGCACAAACCGAGCGTTTTCGATCCATTTTTTGTTTTCCCGTTTCCATTCCTCACACTTCTCTCGATTCAATCCGCAACAGAGTTACGCGAGCCAAAAATCGTGTTCGTATTTTGATTTTCCTCTTCAAAAATGGCAGCTTCTGCCGCCAATTTCCTCTCCATCTTCTTTCTGTTTTGCGTTGCGGTGTTTCTCATCTTTACGTAAGTTCAATGTGTTGAATTTCAGTGTATTTAGTTATAGTTTTTCATCATTGTTGTTTTTTATGCAATTGATGTATTTTGTGATTAAGTATTAGTTGTTTGAATTGGAATTTCACACGTTTAGGTTTAAAATGAAATCAATTGGAATTTCACACGTTTAGGTTTAAAATGAAATCAATTGGAATTATATATGTGTTATTGAATTGTTGGAATTTAGATATGAGTGAATGTGAGTGAAGAGTTCCATATTAGCAACTTTCTGTTTGTTAGGAGGTTTTAAAAAAGGTTGACTTTCGCGATTTCGGTCGGTATTGGTGTTGCAACACTGAATGTAGTTGTTGCAGTGTGAATTAACACAAATTGTTCTTTAACATACACACCGTGAATAACTGTATCGGCAGTCGTAGACCGTTTTTAAAACCATAGGTTTTCTCTTTTTGTTTCCCTTGCATTGTGATGAGTAAATATTATCATGACGAGAATATCAACTAACTAAGCTTTAAGTGTGGCATGTAAGTTGAAGGACAATGAAGCCTGGGATCTACTGATTTGGTTTGATTAGTAGTTAAGAGATATAATGGAACATTTGTGGGGTTGAGTTGAGTCAGCCTCAACTCAAATTGTAAGTAGCATAATCCTAGAAGATATTGTTGAATTAGATAATTTGAATTGCTTGAGAGAACTCTCAGCATTATTATTTATAGTAAGTGATTACAAGCAAATCTATAACTAAACTCAATGATTATAGAAATAAACCCAGCAAACCCTATCATAGAAATACTTACTCAACAAACTATAGTTTAAATCTAATACATATCTTAACAGATATAAAGATTGAACGAAAAACCTATCAGACCATATTTTGATAACAAGTTAGCTATAATCCTTACACATAATCCTATGCAACTTTGTTGGAACCAATTATTTTGGTTTTGATAAGAACTTCATAATGGAGATATTGGATAACTGGACAATTTGTACACCATTTGCATCTATTGAGACCCTACATTGACTAGACATACGACTAAATAATCCCTTAAAAAGCTTGGGGATTCATGATAACAAGTTGTGCTAGTTTTTGTGGATAATTTATGACAAAAACCTAATTCTAGAGTAGTTTCAAAGTTAATCTAGATTTTTAATTGGACCTCTTGTATTTGTTCAAGCTTAAGATGTCCGGTCTTGGATTTGAGAAAGCGTGTTAAGATTTTTGTTATTAGGCCACCCACATTTGTTCACACTTCTGCTGTCTAGTCATTAGTGTAACAGATTGTGTTGTAATCCCAAGTCGACTATAGACATAGCCAAATTAGCCTTTAAAAGCGTAGGGCAATCTTCACCATTCGAGCGCTAGATTTTGTGGTTAATTTAGACCGAATGCCCTAATTCTAAGAGTGTCCATTGAAATCAACTTTTAGGTGTACTAACTAAAGGATTAATCGGTGGTTCATTATAAGAGATGATTTTGTCATTTACTTTTGTATTATTAGTAGTAGCCTATAAAGTGTAAACCATCTGTGTACAATTGTGCACGTGTTTAACACTTGGAAAATTATTCCTTTTTCTCTACAAGTAAACTTCTCCACTATTGCAATATGATTCGACAGAAACTGAAAGTTTAACCAATTGTGTGGGTGTGGCAGTTGGAGTTAGTGTCTTATGGAGGGAGATATTGCCACTTCCCAAAATTTGTTGTCAAATTACTGTTACATCCCATTGATGACTCTTGTCATTGTTTTTTTGTTCACACGGAAATGATGATAGCATACTATGCTTTATGATTTAAAGTTGAATGTTATGTTACTTAGAGATTTAAAGACTTGTGCTATTTGAACCATGCCGGTTCTTTGTTTTTTTTTTTGGTTTAGATCCTTGGCATCCAGAAATCAAATTGGACCCCGACTAATCCTGTTACTTGACTCTGATTGCACACGTTAATTACAGATTTTGTTCTGCATTGCTATCTTGGATTTTGAGCCGTATTTTGGGTGCATCTGTTGAATTTTGTGTTGGTGGATGTAACAGTTTACGGGATGTGGCTGTGAAGTTTGTAAAGGTTTTTCTTTGCCTTCATTCACTTCTTTATTTAAAAGTTTAGAATATTTAAGGGAACTGTGGTACATTCAGCTCGAAGCTGGATATACTAAAAATCACTCTTTTATTGGGTTTTATTATGGTAATCCATGTGTATTTCATGACTAAAATTTCCCCTTGAGAATAATATTCCAGTCCCGCAATAGTAGATTGTAGGGAATAATAACTGACTTTGACTAATTACCTACTTTACTAGGGGAAAATGGACTTATTACAAGGATAAATTGTACAAGCAAATAACTCTCGCGAAGAATTTAATTTGAAGTAGCCTAGTACCTTGCCACCCAAGTGGTTTTTTATCATCCTTTTCCCCTTTTTATTCCTAAATGAGCTAAAGAAAAGTTTTCCCTCAGTTTCCGAAACCTATGGTATAGAAGCTTAGTTCAACCGATCTGGTTTTCTTTATGTACCCATTCTGTATATCATAGTTCAGATTCTTTGCTTTTATTCTAGTGAACTGTGATGTTTGTGTCTCTAGGATTCCATAGCAATATATTCTGTTGATTTATGACATGTACAGGGTGCTACTGAATCTGTATCTATTGGTGAAATTAAACTCAGCTTATTATATTCCTCTGTCGAACCTGGTGTGGGTTTTCGTTCTTGGAATCCAAAGTTGCAATTATCAATATGCAACTTAGAAGTTGTTATGAGGCCTACAAGTACAAATAAAAGCTCTGGGAAGAAGAAAACTAAGAAATCCAAAACACGTTCATTAGGCAAGGGAAAATGGAAGATTATTGTCAATATTGCAAGATATTTTTCTTTTTCTATGACAGAGCTAGTTCTAAAGGTATGAATCTTTATATCATTGTAATTTTCTTCTTGTATGGCGAAACATGCTGATTTTCAACACTGTTGTTTTTTGATGTCAGTATTCTTGTGACTTGGAAGAATATTTTACTTTGTATGATTGTATAATCACTGTTGAGATATTAGAGGTTTGTACGATATTTTTAATTTGTATTTATTTGTATAGTCTATCCTTAGGAAATTTGCTGTATAATGGTAAATAGGAAATTACCATCATCATATCTTCAGATTTGACTTTATTTCTTCCTTATTTTCAGCCTAATCTTGTATCTATAAATTTTGAACACTCTTGTACAGAATTATTAATCAGAAATACAATTTCATCTAGTCTCAATTATTACAATTTATAAAGGTAATTTACATTATACAGACTTGGGAAGCTACTTACCTAAAATAGGACTATATTATGGGAAGCAAAACGGTCCTTGTTAGAGGAAATGAATCAACAAACCTGTCACTAATGAAACATAAATACCGTTTGACAATAGTACCAATACTCAACGATATGTAATATTATATTAGAAATGATTTCAGATATTCAAATACAATGATAATTGTGAGAAGTAAAATATAGTTTAATACAACATCTGTACTTATATTTTTAAATTAGTCTGTATTTACTTTGTTTACTTTCCTAGTGGGACTGAGATTATGTTAGAAAATCTTCTTTGGGTCCCTGAGAGTATTTTGATTGTTGCAGACACCTAAAGGTACTGTTGGGATTGGGAAGGTGAATGTTGATATATCTAAAGGTGGTGGGCCTGAATCAAATTTGTTTATTAGCTTACATATATTGCCCATTGTTGTTCACATTGGTGATCCTCAAGTTAGCTATGATCAATTATCTAAATTTAGTGTTGGAGGATGCAGTGTTTCTAGCCAGGCATCTGCTGCTCCTACAGAAAAGCCTTCTGCTCCTTTTATCTGTGAAAAATTCTCCGTCTCATGTGAATTTGGTCATCATAGGTATTTTTCTTTCTTTTATACATTTTTTATAATATTAATCATGTAACTTAGTTTCCCCTTTGCAGTTTCTATAGATGTCAGTTCAATTTTTAAATGAAAACAATATTTTGTTCTATTTTATGCCATATTGCAGTAGGATTACTTGACTTTAACTTGGATGCTCTTATCCTTTTATGGATTTCATTTTTTTATTTTTCTATGGCTTCTAAGTTGTGTTTTGTCTCTCTTTATTGAACACAGGGAAGTGAGTATTGTTATTAAGAATGTGGATGTATCCATTGGAGAAGTTACTGTAAATTTGAATGAGCGGCTGCTTATAAAAAAAAAGAGGTCATCAGAATCTTCATCTGGCTCTGATAGGTCAAGCCTTGATCCCATGAGCACAAAACAGTCTTCAACAAAGCAAGAAAAACTAGCACGCTTCAGTTCTTTGTTTCCTGAGAAGGTTTGCAATTTGAACATAATTAGATTTTCTAACTGTCATGTATACTTTTCGAGGCTTAGCGAACTGGTAATGTTGTTTCTTTGTGAATTGGTGGTCATGTGTTTTAGTCACAACCTTTACTCCACTTTAAGCAATTTGCATGATACATTGGACTTTGGGTGCCTTGTTGACGGTTTTAGCTTTTCAAGGAGCTTTCATTTTTTCAGAACACTAGCATTTGACTTTGGCGATAGACATTCCTGTGAAATCTCTCTGAATATTATGATTGTACTCATGGTATTTTTGGTTTTATTTGGGTTATTTAATTTGGAAACCATAATCAAAGTGTTTGCCTTCTTTGTGGTGTATAATTGGACAATCTGTTTGTATTATATTTTTGCTAATATATTGAACCAAAAAACTATTCAAAGATTTTTCAGTTAGATTTATTTTCAGCTGTGGAATTATACTGTGTATTGATAGGTGGGCTTCAATCTACCAAAACTGAATGTGAATTTTGAACATAGCGAACATGGTCTTTCTGTTGAAAATAGCATCACTGGCATTCAATTTAATAGCATCAAATCACGCTCCAATAAGCATATTGGGGAGAGTACTCGCTTTCATTTTCAACTGGAGTTCAGAGAAATTCATGTATGTAGTTTGTTTATTGATTTGTTGAGCCTTTTGTGGTATGATTTCCCCCTTTTCAATTTGCTTCTTGCTGACAAATTTTATTCGGTACCATTGACATCGTAGCTTCTTAGAGAAGCCAGCGCTTCTGTCCTGGAGATAACGAAGGTGAATTTGGTCTCCTTTGTCTATGTCCCAGTGCAGGTAAGTTGTTAGCAATCCACATATGCCACCTTTGTATCTATATATTTGTATCTGTGTTTACCAGACCTGCGAAACTTTAATACAATTAGGAGCAAGAAAAGGGAAAAATACTATTGAGATTATTACAATAATTTTAATAGGCCTTCTATGAAAGAATTTAAGAATTTTCCGGATGCACGGGTCATTTGTTTTATTTCTCTTTGTTGTAAATACTCTTGAATCTGAATATTTTCTCATTGATATGAAAAGGTGGAGCATATATATTTTCTATCATAATCGCAAAGGATACTAACATATCGTACTATCATAAATATCAATATCTCTATAATAAATATCAATATCTCAACATTCCCTTAAAGGTGGAGTATATATATATATATATATATATATATATATATATATATATATATATATATATATATATATATATATATAGTATGCATCCATCTTGTCACATAGGAGTATGAAAGTTATTCGAGGACTTCGTAGTGATTTGGTAAAGGTATCAGCAAGTTGCTCCTTAGAATTGACAAAGGAAATCTTGATGACTTTATAGAGAATCTTTTCTCAAATGAAATGACAATTGACTTTTATATTGTTTGTTCTTTTATGAAAAACTGAATTAGAGGAGAGATGTAAAGTTGATTGGTTATCACATACAAGTTTCGTCTGACCAACTCACGAAAATGTAGCTCTTGCAGAAAATGTTTCAACCATACAAGCTCACATGTAGGATGAGCCATAACTCAATACTCAACTTCTGTACTCGATTGGGCAACAAAATCTGCCTTTTGCTCTTCCAATAAATCAAATTTCCACCCACTAAAATACAATAACTAGAAATAGACCTCCTATTACTCACGTCTCCTGTCCAATGGCATCTAAATACCCAACAATATTTGAGTGACCCCTAGCAGCAAAAACAAGTTCATTTCCAAGTGCTCTTTTGATGTACTTAAGAATTTGAACAATTACATTTCAGTGACTGATACTGATACATCGAGGGTTAAGAAACTGACTTACGATACTAATTGAAAAAGATATGCCTGGTCTTGTCAGGGTGAGATAAATCAAAATTTTCCACTAGTCTCCGGTATCTACCTCGATCAAAATAGGGCTCCCCTAGTCTGTAAGGAGATTCACTTTAGGATCCATAAGAGTATTGGCTGATATACAACGTCTCCTTCAAAATATCAAGGACATACTTCCTCTGAGAAATAACAATACCTGCATTGATTGAGCAATCTCAATCCCAAGAAAGTAACGTAGGGGACCGAAGTCCTTTGTTTGAAAGTTTTGAAATAGGTATTGTTTCAATGTCTTGATACTTTCACAATCATTGCTTATAATCACAATGTCATCAACATAAATCACAAAATAGATATATTTATTTGATGATGTGCACTCAAGAAAGAGTGAATGATCTGATTCACAACGGATCATTCCGAGCTATTGTAGAACTTTGTTGAATCAACCAAACCACGCATGAGGTGATTGTTTCATGTCATATAAGGACTTTTGCAATTTGCATACCAACCTAAACCCTTGAGCAACAAATCCAAAAGCTTGATCCATATAAATATCTCCTTCCAAGTCACCATACAAGAAAGTATTCTTGATATCCAACTGAAATAAGGGCCAAGTTTCCATGCCGCCATAGTTATAAAGTGGTGAGCATATGTCATTTTTGCTACGGGTGAAAAGAGATAACTTTAATCCTCACTATAGACTTGAGTATAGCCTCTTGCAACTAATTGAACCTTTAATCGATTAACCTGTCCACTAGGTCACATTAAATACCCACCTGCAACCAACAATAAATTTTCCATGAGGAGGAGGAACGAACTCCCAAGTATGGTTAGATCGTAAAGCCACCATTTCATCAATCATGGTTTGTTCCATCCTGAATGAGACAGTACTTCATGAAGTGTCTTAGGAATTCAGACAGATGAAAAAGCAAAAACAAAATAAAAGTAGGAAAGAGACAGTCGATGGTAACACAAAGTTGTAGTAAACATGATGAGGATTAGAAGTAAATCTTTTCCCTTTGACTCTCAGAATTTGGGATGGGCCTAACTCAACCCTATAAAACCGGCTTGTAAGGTGAGGATTACCCCCACTTATAAACACACCATATCTCTAATCAATATGAGACTAAATCCATTCCTTCAAACTCAACACAATGAAGGTGTTGGAGGCTGCAATGAAGGCTAGCCAAAATGCCGTAATTAAGACGATTAGAGGCGGACCACAATTAAGGCGGAAATTCCAACCCATTCCCTCACGCATGGGCCTCAATGAGCCCGAAGCATGGACGATGCGGGAAGCTTAACAATAGATCTAGGATAAGCTCTAATATCATCTCAGAATTTGGGTTAGGCCTAACTCATCCCTACAAAACCGGTTTGTAAGGTGAGGATTGCCCCCACTTATAAATACACCACAAGCCATATCTCTAATCAATGTGAGACTAAATCCATCCCTTCAAATCCAACACAATGAAGATGTTGGAGGCTGCAATGAAGGCTAACCAAAGTGCCTCAATTAAGGCGACTAGGGGCGGACCGCGATTAAGGTGAAAGTTCCAACATTTACGAAGAGCACAATGTCAAATCAAGCACAGGGAGATTGTTTCAAGCCATAAAGAGATCGACAAAGCTGACATATGAGAAGCGCCATTAACACTGATGGACATTAAATTAAATGTACAAACAGGGACATAGAACACAAAGTCTAAAGAAAGTGCAAAAGGTAGATAATAGATGATAATCCAAATGTGAAACATAAATATGATTAGGATTCCGAAGAGTCCCACGTAGGATGAGATATGGCTTGGAAATTAGATGGTATATCAGAGTCTATCCAAGATTTATTGGGCCACCGACTATCAAATTTCTAATAACAGATTATCTATAATTTATATTCACGCACTAAGCCTAATAGTGTTCAGCGTCAGGGTGTGTGTTAAGAATCTCACATTAGATGAGATATGATATAAAAATATGTTTATAAGTGGAGAAAATCCTCATCTTACAAGTGAGTTTTGTAAGATTGAGTCAATCACCATTATAAGAGCTATAATCACATCTGATGGCTCTACAAATTTTTAGTTTCTATTTTTCCCACAATACAACCACCTTCTAACAATAAAGCTTTGTAAGCTTAGCTTGGGAGGGAGTATTAAAATCAAATCCTAATATTTATTACTAGGATTAATATTAGCAAATCATATCAATAATCTTTGATGTATTTATTCTATATACTATTACAAATAAAGATGAGTGTAATCTCATTTAGACACATAGAATCACAAATTCAACACAACAATTGTAAATAGTTGACAAGATTGCTTGGGATATGTTGACCATAGTAATGTATATGATTATTCTCTTTTTATCATCATTGATATAGTTTCCTTAGTTTTTCAATTTTTTTTTGAGATTTTCTCTGTTATATAAATTTGTACAACCTCATTGTGAAATATTTGCTATTCACTTGAAATTATTCAATAGGAGAGAAGCCCGAAAATAAAGGAAGTCTGATTCCTAAGCCATTTATTTTGTATTGGGTTGCACTCCTTGTGCTTTTAATACTAGTGCTTATCGATTTTTTTTTTTTACTATTTTGTCCATTTAGCATATGTTAAGATATGTATAAATTTAAGTTATATATGGTTGAGAAAATCTCTATAAAATTAGGTTTGTTAGTTTATTTCATCCCTATAGTCAAGGGATTTAATTACTCATTTGAATTTCTCTCAAGCAACTCAATAATCTAATTCAACTGTATATAGATTATTGGAGTATGAATTGTTCTCTTTTGTATTGTCTATGCAAGCTTATTCTCTTTTCTTTTTCATGGGTTCTTTCCTCCAGTCAACCTCACTTGCTAGAGCTGAAACTGAAATCAAACTTGGACGTTCACAATGCAACATCATAATGAGCAGATTGAAGCCTTGGTTGCGTCTCCACTCCTCCAAAAAGAAAAAAGTGGTACTTCGAGAGGAAGCTTCGGTTGTAAAACCGAAATCAAATGAGAGCAAAACCATCACGTGGACATGTAAATTTTCAACTCCTGAGATAACAATCGTGCTTTATAATATGGCTGGTTTTCCGGTGTATCATGTAAGTATTTGTACATATATAATTTCATTGTTTTATGAACCAAAACTTGCATAACAGCCATGCTATGCCATTGCAAAGTAAATTTGATTCTAGTTATATTTAGTATTATGCCGTTTGTGATTGATATAAATTTAAAAGTTCAATTGAAAATTAAAATTAAACAGTTCTGTCCTTATATGCCATATATTTTTGAACTTGTTAGATGATATGAAAGAATCTAATAATAACTTATGTTAGAGTGTTGTAAGCAATAAATAAATAAAGGAGTGGAGTACGGGAAAGGATGTTAGAGTTCCAATAGAATGCATAATAGTTATGAAAATAAAAGTTACAAAAAAATATATAATAAGGCATAAAAAGTTACAAAGAAAATATATAATAAGGCATAAAAAGTTAGACTATTAATTTTGAAATATAAAAAAAGCCAATGAGATAAGTCTAATAGACTATTATGTAACACCTCCTTTTAAATCTATGATGCATTAGAAGAGAGCATCGAGATTTTATCAATGATACAAAAAACTCCATCCTAAAAATATTTTCTATATTCGAACACCATCCTCAAGCTAACGTTTAAACTAAACTACAACTATGAGGTCAATTATACAAAAAACTCCATCCTAAAAATATTTTCTAATATTCGAACACCATCCTCAAGCTAAAGCTTAAACTAAACTACACCATCCTCAAGTTCATGAACCACACTGAATCTAATCATATTAATGGTTCGGTTCAGTTTTTATAACCACTTCAATAAAAAAAAATAGTTAATCGCTAAAGCGGTTTTAGTTCTTAGGTCAGTTTTAGATCAGTATAGAATCAATTTGTATCTATAAACCGGTTTCTAATCAGTTTACATTTATAAATCGGTTTTATATTTTGATTTTTCTAGAATCATTTTTTTTTGTTTTTCAAGATTTGGTCCACAGAGAAACATAATTTATAGTCTTGGACAATCCTAACCTTACAAATGAATTTTGTGGATATGACATGGAAGATAATTAATAAAATTAGCGTCAAATTTATAATTAACATATCTATGTAAATTATAAATGAGACACAAATGGAATAAAATGAAAGAGGATAAATACAAAACCTAAACGACTGATACCATGTTGAAAAGTATTGAAAAGAATGATTAAAAGCTGTTGTATTTTATTTCTTAGCATTAGACTGGTTTATATGGTAGGAATTCCATAAATTATAATTAATTCTCTCTTCAATGGAGAATAAAGGAAATTAAAGAATAAACAAAAATAATAAAAATAAAATATTTTCCAACACCCCTTCAAATTGGTGCATAAATATCTATCATGTTCAACTTGACTATCAAATACTCAAAGGTATGTCTTGTCAAATTTTTGGTCAAGATATCCGCAGTTTGCTGACTTGAAGTCACAAAAGGTAGACATATGATTCCAGCATCTGACTTCTCCTTTATGAAGTGTCTGTCAATCTCAATATGCTTGGTTCTGTCATGTTGAACTGGGTTATGAGCTATGCTAATAACAGCTTTAGTGTCAGAGTATAATTTCAATGGAAGCTCAATTTTCATCTTAAGTTCTTCTAGGACTAAAGATCTATAATCCTTCACAAATATCTTGAGACATAACTCTAAACTCGGCTTTTGCACTACTTCTTGCTACAACTCCCTGTTTCTTGTTCCTCCATGTCACAATATTACCCAAAACATAGGTACAATATTCAGAAGTTGATCTTCTATCTATAATTGAACCTGCCTAATCAACATTGGTGAAGATAGACACATTTCTTTTACTAGTCTTCTTACAAAACAAGCCTTTTCCAGGATTTTCCTTCAAATATCTCAGTATCATATTGACAGCCTCAAGATGTTCCTCGAAAGGAGAATGCATAAACTGACTTACTACACTAACTGAGAAAGCAATATCAGGTCGGGTACGTGACAAAAAATCAGTTTTCCAACCAATCTTTGATATCTTTCAGTATCAACAGGAACATTACCTTCTCCTCAAAGTTTAACATTAGGATCCATAGGGATATCTGCAGGACGACATCCACTCATTCCTGTTTCTTTCAATAAGTCTAGAATGTATTTCTGCTGTGAAAGCACAATACCATTCTTTGACTGAGAAACCTCCATACTAAGAAAATATCTCATGAATCTCAAGTCCTTGATTTCAAAGTCTACTGTCAATTTCTCTTTTACTCTTGCCATTTTCATTGTATTGTCTCCAGTAAGGACAATATCATCAACATAAACAATCAGGGCAACCACTTTCCCATCCTGGGAGAACTTTGTGAACAATGTGTGGTCAGCTTGTCCTTGAATGTATCCTTGTTTTTTCATGGACTGAGTGAATTTTTCAAACCATGCTCTAGGGGACTGCTTTAATCCATACAAAGACTTATTTAGTTTGCATACATTCGGTCCAAATTTGTTTTCAAAGCCAAGAGGAATGTCCATATATACTTCTTCTTCTAGATCGCCATTGAGAAAAACATTCTTAACATCTAACTGATGTAGGGGCCAATCCAAGTTGGCAGCAAGAGATAACAAAATTTTGACAGTGCTCAATTTTGCAACAGTAGCAAATGTCTCTGAGTAATCTATATCATAGGTCTGAGTAAAGTCTTTAGCCACCAAGCGAGCCTTGTACCTTTCAATTGACCCATCTGAATTATACTTCACAGTAAACACCCATTTGCATCCAACTGTCTTCTTGCCATCTGGTAGTGTCGTAACAGTATATTTTTTGGAATTTCTACACTAGACAATTTTGAGGTGAAGGCAAACAAAGATGAAGACAAATTTGAATATGATATAAAATTGGACATAGGGTGTTTAGTACAAGATCTAATAGGTTTTCTAATGGCAACAAGATCATCTATATCAGGATACAAAATACGAATTTCAGAAATAGAGATCGACTTACCTTTCTTATTCTTAGGAGGTTGATCATTCCCCGGTTCAGATTCCTGAGAGTGTTGTGATGTGGACTCATCCCTTCCTTTGTGGTGTTTTTTCACAAAAATCATCCCTTTTCCAAGTCCTGTTTCCTAATTCGAATATGTTTTCTTAAAGTGACTCATTATTTTGTGGCATTTCAATTAGATCATCATTATCACCGCTTTCAGGATTCTCATTGTTTTCTACATGAAAAAGTGTAGGCTCAGATTCACACAGTTCCTTACTCATAACACGAGTAGGATCAGATAAAGAATCATGACCATTTTCTGTTGGTGCAAAAGTATAAGTCTCAAAACTTTGTGGTACACGCAAAGATAAGTCATTTAAATAACTCATGTCCTCGATTTGAAACGAATCTTCCTTTATATCCCTCCTTGAAGATGAGTGTCATAAAAAAAAGATTTATTTTCAAAGAATGTAACGTCCATAGTGACAAACATTTTCTTGTTTTTGGATCAAAATATTTATATCCTTTTTGGGTTTGGGAGTATCCAACAAAAACACATTTTATAGCACGTGGTTCAAGTTATCCAACATTTTTATGTTCATGAATAAAAGTTGTGCAACCAAAGATTTTTAATGTCAGATCAGTAAAAACACAAATACTAGGAAAACATTCTTTGAAAGTATTAATTGGAGTTTGAAAGTTGAGAACTTTAGAGGGCATCCTAATATGCAACTGTTAAAACAGCTTCACCCCACAAATAGTTTGATACTTTATTTGAGAAAAGTAGAGTTCTAGCAACCTCCAATAAATGTCTATTTTTCCTTTCGGCAACTTTATTTTGTTGAGGAGGATTAAGACATTTTGATGTACAATCTCATTTTTTAGAAAAAAACCACCCAAGATAGTGTTAAAATATTCTTTGTCATTGTCACTTCTAAAGACTTGGATATTTGTTTGAAATTGGTTCTGCACCATTGTAAAAAAATTCTATACAGTCTGACAAACATCTGATTTCCCCTTTAACAAGTATACCCAACATACTCTTGTAAGGTCATCTATAAATGTGATAAATCATTTTTGGAGAGAGTGTACTTGTACAGTTAGGGCCCAAAAAAATCATTGTGAATAATAGAAAAAGGTTTTGATGGTTTATAAGGCTGTATTGAAAATTGAGAATGATGATGCTTTGCAAACTCACATGCTTCACATTTAAACAAAGAAAAGTTCTTATTATGAAATAACTTAGGAAACATGTGTTTTAAGTAACGAAAACTAGGATGACCTAATCTTAAATGCCATACCATAATGTTGTCATCTTTGTTATTCAAAACAAAAAAAGACTCAAAGCAAGAACTTTTTGTTTTTGAAGGTAGTCGTGATGCAGATCCAATGTCAAGGTAGTAGAGTCCTCCATTCTCCTTAGCACTACCAATCATCTTTCCCGAGTTCAAATCCTGAAAGACACAGTGAGATCGGAAAAAATTAGTTTGACAATTTATATCTTGGGTTAATTTTCTGACGAACATTAAATTACATGATAAATTTGGAACATGAAAGACATTTTTAAGAGTTAACATTGGAACAATACAACTGACCCTTTACCTGCAATGGCTGAAAGAGAGCCACTTGCGAGTTTTATTTTTTGATTACCTGTACATGGACTATATGAAGAGAACAAAGTAGATTCACCTGTCATGTGGTCAGAGCCACTTGAATCTACTGTCCATGTATGACTGGGACTGACACTAAGAAATGCATAATTACCTTTTGCTGCTATAGAGGAAGAAGGAGTTGGAGACTCGAGGAGTTTGTACAGTCTGTCTAGTTGTTCCAGTGAGTGGAAGTTGAGGCGACGAGATTTGCTGCCCTTGATCAGAATTACTAGCCTGAAATGCACGACCGCCTTTCTACTTCTAGTTAGGGGATTTGTCTTTGAGCTTCCAACAAGTTTCACGCGTATTCCATTCGCGCTTGCAGTGATCACACCAAGGAACTTTGTCTAACCTTTTTCCCTCATCAAGGTTCCTAGTAGCCAAAACTGAGCCTTCAGATTCAGAGCTTCGTGTTGTCTTGCCCATCATAATACCTTGTCGTGCCTCCTCCTTTCTTATTTTTGCAAAAGTTCCACGAAGAGTTGTCAATGGTATTTTTCCTAAA